GAAAAGAATCCACAAAAAGGATAAAGCATTCAGATTATCCATCTGATAAGAACTTACATCAAGTATATTTAAAGAACCACTAAAAGGAAATTTTACAAAGATAAAAATTCACTTAGAAAATACTTCTCCATAGAAATGTTCAACATCAAAAATATTTAACATTATTAGTCACTAGCAAAAGGAAAATAAAAATCACAATTAGAAAAACCAATCCTCACTCACTAGGATTGACATAATAAAAATGAATACAAAGAATACAAATGTTGGTTAGAATAAGGAGAAACTAGAAGACCCATACCTTGTGGGATTCTAAAATGGAACAGCCAGTATGGAAGATAGTTTGGCAGTTTCTCAAAAATGTTAAATAAGCATTAGCATACAACTCAGCGATTTCACTTCTAGATACAAACCACAGAGAAATAAAAACATATGTCCACACAAAACTTATACATACATGCCCATAAGCAGCAAATTTTAAAAAAAATATGCAGCTAAAAAGTAGAAACAACCCAAATGTTTATAAACTGATAGATTAACAAAATGTAACCTTTTTGTACAATGGAATCTTATTTGTCATTAAGAAGTAATATTGATACATGTTGCAAATGGAGGAATCTTGGAAAAAATTATTTTGAGTAAAAGCAGCTGGTTAAAAATGACAACATATTACATGCTTCCATTTATGTGAGATGTTCAGAATGGGGAAATAAACACAAAACACATCAGTGGTTGTCATGAGTTTGTGACGTGGGTATGTAGATGTGCAGGATTGGGGATGGCTACTAAGAAGTAGAGTTTCACTCTGGAGTGGTGAAAAGTTGAAAATCAAAGTGGGGATGGCATAGTAAAAAGCTGTAAACTGTACTCTAAGTAAATATTATAGTGTGTGAATTATATCTCAGTAAAACTGTTATTAAAAAGAATAACTGAAGACATTAATATAGTTGATCTTCCCAGATGTTAATTAATTTCCAAATATGTACTAATTTTTCCAAGAGCAGTCTCTCTAACTTGTTAAATACTAGGGTTACAAAGATGAATGACATGGTCTATCACCTTCAGGGAGTTTCTAGATTAGTAAAGGACATTCTCCATAAGACTGGCAAAATGAGCACAGCATACTTTACTCCCTGGACATTCAGGTAGCATTCCAAAAGGAGGGTATATATTTGTTTAAAAAACAATTAAGAGGGCCGGGGATTTAGCTGAGTGGTTCTGGTGTCTGCCCCGCAAGCACAAGGTCCTCAGTTTGATCCCCAGTACCAAAAACAAACAAAACAAAACAGTAAGAAATAATTTTGAATTGCTAGTCAGAAAATAAACTATTTCTATTCTTTCACTTTTTATCTTTTTAAATGTTTTTTAATTTTTAAAAATTTTATCTCATTCCCCTCTTCAAGCCCCCTACACTTTTATATATCATGCACACTTAAGAAGATTTAGTAATCTTGGAGCTTACAATCATTACACCCATCACTACTATCAGGAACATGTTTCCTGAACATCTGCAGCTTAAGTCAGAATATAGCTTGTTCTCTTTTTTTCTCCCCATCTTCCTTCCCCTTGTCTATATTCAATATCCTGTTGATTTGTGATAATTAGGTAAAAAGTGATGGCTCCTGACTGATACTGGAAGCTCAGTGATGGGGTAAGCCCAGTACTTTCTGATATATTTCTTCTATTAAATGCCCCATGAGGAAAAAAGCAACAGCTCACCATTTCCATGTGTCTGTCACACTGCAGTACGTATTCTGATTAAAAACTTTTTTTCTCTGTATTGACACTATATGAAGCAGGCTCTGAACACATTAACACCGTTCTAATATTTTTCTTTTTGAATACCTTTCCTTTACTTCATTATATATACTGTACTTACACTTGACAAATGATGAGTCTGTATTCAAGTCATTTTTTTTTTTTTGGTACCAGAGATCAAACTCGGGACCTTGCGCTTGCAAGGCAGGTGGTGGAACCACTGAGCTAAATCCCCAGCCCATCAAGTAAATTTTTTTTTGGTACCAGGGATTAAGCTCAGGACCTTGCGCTTACCAGGCAGGCACGATGCCACTGAGGTACATCCCCAGCCCTTATTCAAGTAAATTCTGAAAGTGGACAGAGGAGATAAGGATAAAAACACAGTGCCATTCCAACTCTTGAACTAATTTTCTCAACAACTGAGTTAAAAGTTACACGTAAAATAGCCTTAGTTGTAAAAGGAGGATAGCTGCTTTGTGTTTTCAAATACATTTTGGTTGAAACTATTTAAACATGAGCCTTTTTGCATACTATATTTCTTTAGATTAAATTTGGGCTTAGGACAAATCACTTGACCTCAGTAAGTCTGTTTCCTCCTTTCTAAAACCTTTCCCTCAGGACTGTTATATTGTTAAATGGGAAAAGAAGCATGAAAGAGTGGTAAATGTTGAGAGTATTATCACAACAAATCTTTAACATCTTGCTGCTGCGCATTTCAATACTATTTACTCAGCATACACCTGCAACAGTATTGGTTGATGTTTCTTAGATATTAAATACTATGTAAAACTTATCTCAGTGAATGAAATGACCTTGCTGGTCCTGTACTGAAAGTACTATACAATATATCACAATCACTTAAGTTTTAGAATTGTGTCCTTAAAAATTGTGAAACTGCTTGCTAAATAGTCACTCTTACTGAATTCTCAGATTCAAGTATTATAATTCCTTGATAGATTAAACTCCAATAAGGAATCTGTATCAGATTAACTTTTGTAAAAATTTGCAAAGTTATAAACTCTATAATGATGCATTTCAATTCTTTGGTACATTACAATGAAAATGAGAGTTTTAAAGTTATCTCCTAATAATAAAAACTACTCACTTTTACAGCACAGGATCGTATCACCTCCTAAAAGAAATACAGTAAAGAAGTATTCATAATTTCATTCAAGTAACGAACCAATAAATTCAGATGTCACTCTTTATAATAACCAAAATCAGGACTTGTAAGTATTTTTAAAATCAGCCTACAGTTGTTACTCTGCATTATTTCCAGGAGGGAGGAAAGAGTATGTATTAGAGACTTAATGACATGTTCATAGAAATCTGGCTTGCTAAAGCTAACAAGGTAACTGAGTAACAGACCACTGAGCGCCTATGTATTTCTCTCAAGAAAAATTTGTCTCCTCAATAAACTGGCATAAATGCCAAAATTCTGTCCTAGAACACTAACAAGTCTCAAAGGTATACTCTGAATTAACTGTATTATATCATTGTCTCTATAAATAATATTAATACTCAAAATTAAATTTCCATTTTTTTTTTTTTTTTTTGGGGGATCAAACTCGGGTCCTTGCACTTGCGCAGCAGGTGGTGAAACCACTGAGCTAAATCCCCGGCCCTAAATTTCCATATTAATTATTTTATCAGATGAAATATCATAAACACCATACAATGATAAAGAATATGACTTAATATTTTAAAAAGCTAAAAAAGAAATGCCTATAATTCATGAGACAAGGCCAAGAAGAGATCATTTTCAAAAGACAAGACAGTATAAGTCGATGTGTAATGGACAATTTAAAAATTTGCTAAGTAGACACCAAAATTTTCAAGTCCAGTGAGGGTTAACCAGTATATATCATTAGGCTAGTACAGAACTAGAGAAAATGGGGAGTAAATAACACGGGGTTTAACAAAAAAGACAATTGAAAGAGCACATGAATTTTTTTATCCAGAAACTTCTAAGGAATAGGTACTTCTATAATGGACAAATCTAAAGGATATTGGAATACTAAAAGGAAACAGTAAAAAAGATGGTGGACCTGGGAATCCAACTACCTGGACTGAATCCACCATCAATGCTTACTACCCGTGTGACCTTGGTAATGCTGCTTGATCTCCGCAGCCCACAAGCTGCTCTTCTGGAAAGTGGGGATAATACTAGTCCCTCTACTGCTCTGCAGGATAGTTTGAAGACTGGATCTAATAAAAAGGTAAAGCACTTAGAACAGTGCCAAAAATATGTCAATTATTACTAATATGAAACAGATGTTAGTTACCATTAATTACTATAAGGTAAAAATCTCTTGTGGGGTAGAGAAAATTCATCAGTCTTCCTCAAAACTGGCATAAAACATTTTCAAAACTAATCCAATCCCGACACGTATGACTATTTAACAAGCACCTTAGTGATTACTAACCTGAGTTCAAGTTAACTTTAGATTAGGAAAGCAGTCTTGAATGTTTCAGCAGCTGGAAACACTCAAGAAACTTTTATAAGCTTTTCTCATGGATCCTAGTTTATATAAGACAACTTTTTGTAGGACTGATTACTTTTAATACAGTATTCTAAGAAATTGTGAATAGATTAGGATCAATTATGGATGCACTGATAAGAGCAAATTTCTGGATCTGAAAATAGAGAATGAATTGTATCCCTCTGGGAGGTCTTTTGGTATGTTTTATATAAATATTTTCCCAGGGATAGTATTTGTTGTGTGTGCATGTGTGTGTATACATATATATACATATATATATATACATATACATACATATATATACATATACATATATATACATATATATATACATATACATATGCACATACTTTTCTTTTAATATAGAAACTTAAAAATTCTACACTAATAGTCTGTCAATATTTTGGAGGATGATTTTCTAATCCTTTAAAGATTAGCAAGACTTGTATCCATTTACATAATAGAAATGTTTGTCAGCATTTTACCCTGGTTTTTATTTTGATATTTATAATTGATTGGTCTTTGAGGATTTGATTTTCACGTGTGACCTAAGATGCAGATGTACACTGACTGCATTTTTCAGTTAACTCAGAGTTAACATGGAATAATTAATCTTTTCCCACTAATTTATCTATCTTTATGAACTCGTATCAAGCTGTTAGTATTTTTGGCTTTATATTATGTTTCAATATCTGGCAAGACAAAAACTAGCTTCATTATTACTTTCTTCTCTCACCTGCTCCTCTGGAGAAATGTAAAGATAGTGAACTAGTTCCTATGTAGATGACCGTTTATTTTAATAGAACACATTTAGAATTTTTATTGATAGTAATTATATACCTTTGTGAAGTACAATGTCATATTGTGGCACATTGATACAACCATAATGATCAAGTTAAGATACTTATGTTACTGATGATCTTAAACACTTATCATTGTTTTATGATGGGAACATTCAAATCTTTTCTAGTTATTTTGAATTATACAGCACCATAATGTTAGCTGCCATTATCCTCTGTCCAGTAGAACACCCACACCTACTCCTCCTATCTGGCTGTGACTTTGCAGCTATCAAGCAAACTCTCCTCACCCTCTCCTCCTGTGCTTTCCCTGGTTCCTGGTTAGCACTACTCTGCTCACTAGTTCTGTAGATCAGTGTTCTTTAGGTTGCACATTGGAGTGAAACTCTGTGCTATTTGTCTTTCTGTATCTGGTTCATTTCACTCATTATGATCACTGTTTCCATCCACTTTGCTGCATATGACAGGATTTCTTCCTTTTATGGATGAGTAGTATTCCACTGTGTGTGGTCAATCTTGACTGATCTCTGAAGCTAGGTAAGGTTAGGCCTGGTTAGTACTTGTGTAGCAACATTTTTAATTTTTTAAGATACTGTCAGACTATATTGCAAAGTGGCGCTTTCATTGTGCATTCCCACAGCAAAGAACGAGAGATCAGTTGCTTCACATTTTTGCAGCATTTGATATTTTCAGTGCTTCAGGTTTTAGTCAACCTAATAGGAGTATAATTGTAGCTCATTGTTGTTTTAATTTGCCGTTCTCTGATGACATAGGCTGAACATCTATATAGTTAATTACCACTTGTTTATTTCCTTGGATGAGGTCTCCATTCAGCTTCTGGGGGATTAGCCTTTTCTGATAAATAGGGCCACTGCTCTTCTCTTTATCTGAAGTCTGTTTTATGGCTTCCTCTGTAGGTTTGGCTAAATGAACAGGATTGGCTCATGAATTTTTCTGAGGCCTGCTTCTTTCAAAAGGAACCACATTTCTTCTCAAAATTTGGACTGATGAGATCTTTACCAGTTTTTATTAGTTGAACTGAAATAAACCAATAAGCATGTGAAAAAGTACTGAGCATCATTGGTCCTCAGAAAAACATTAATGGAAAGTTAATGCGATATTATATACATTTCTTTCCTCCTTATACTCCTTCCTTCTCATTCTCCTTGTATTTTCTGTGGCTTCCTTCTCTGCTGCTATACTCCCTCTCCACTTTCCTTTTTTTTTTAATCTTGTGACTTTTGATTACTTAGGCCCTTTGGTTGAACTTGCTGCTTTCTCTTGATAACCGTTTTTTTCTACCAGGATCCCTGAGGAATTTTTTCACACACTCCAGTCTCTCCTTTAACAACACCAATCAACCACATGCACAGTCTATCTTATGTTCATATTCATCTCTTCTTTCATTATCAACAATAAAAACTAACCTTTATCAATGGTAATATGTATCAGACACCTGTAAAGATATTCATTTACACAATCTCGCTGAATCCTAATAGAATCCCCATTTTACAAATGAGAACAATTGAGGTTACTTAATTTATCCAGAGTTGCAAGGCAGGCATAGTTTGGAGCTTGTACATACACAGTATATATGTACTTAGCACTGGAGCTCTAAAGCTATGTTCTTAACCATAGTTTCCAACTATCTCTTTTCTACTACATATATAGGCATGCTTCTGAAATTAGTTCTTCAGGCTATTGATCTGATATTTTTAAGTGTGAACTTTTCCCTTCACAATTTGCAATGTGCAATTAACTGAATTTTGTCTTTAAATTCTTTCTTACCTTAGCCAGATGTCTTTTAAAATCAAAATTTCAGATGGTTTTTAATTAGTAAATCTCTGATTCACTGTATTTTATTGAAGACACAATCTAAAATATTGTTTCCTAGAATAAATCATTTAAAATATGCTTGCAATGCACATCTTTTTAATGGCATTCGTGACTTAAGTGAGATTTATTTTTTCAACCTTAGGCTATCCAGTGGTTTGTGTGCAGGGCCTAAGCTTATTTCTGGTAAATTTAGACATTCTTATTATTTGGTCTATTGGACTGAAGCAGTATCTTCTGTTTCTATGTTTACCTTTTTGGGTTGTCAGTGTAATTTACTCCTGAGATATTCAATATTGTTGACTATTCCTTTTCATTAAACAATGTTAATTTGGGTAATAATTTCTCTTGCTTTTATTCTACTGACCTTTTGGCCTCTTTCACTAGCTTTTATAAAATGTTCCACACCATTTTAGCAGTAGTAAAGGCTCAACAATTATACAATGAAAAAATTAGTTACTACTTTTTCATAAACTTAGAAATGTTTCGAAAAATAGCATGGGAGATTATACATACAGTATTTCAACATATAAAACCACAAAACTTTTATCTATTTTTTGAACCAAGATGGTTTCTTTGTATACAACACAAAGGTAGTAATAAATCATGCCTATCTTAAAAGGCTATTACATTAAAGAAGGCCATGTGAGCATTATATAAGTGGATTATTAAAAGACCCTGCCTTACATTATAGTTGAATATTTGTTATCAACTAGAAGACCTGATGGAATTTGAGGCCAAGTGTTTAACATTTTAGTATTCCCTGGAGGGTCTTAAATGTAGCAGGTAATTACTAAATATTTGAGGTAAGTGAGTTTTCTTTACTCCAACTGGTGAAGCCCAACCTGCAAAGCCAAGTTATACCTGGTCACCAATTCTACAGAAGTTGTGTACAGGTGTAGAGGGCCTGGCTGGTCTTAGCCAGAGGCAGAGGTTGAAAGTAGGTAGTCAGGTAGTCAGTACATGGCTGTATGGTGACACATAAGGCAATGCAAATTACAGAATAGGAAATCAAGGAGGAAGATCATGAGTTAGGAAAATGTCAACAATAGGAAAGCTTTGGGAAGACAAAATTGAAGGGATAGACTGATTTCCCTGAAATGAAGACCCAGAAAAAAATGGCCAAAATAAAAAATGCTGTTTGTGTAAAAGGAAGTTTCAAAATTCTGTTTTTCCTAACTCACCACATACATCTACTTGTTAGTTAAGAAAAATCAGTTATGCAGACCAGATATAAAGACAGTATTAGAATTGCCTTCAAGGAGCTTGCAATTTAGATAAGGCCCTGAAACTCACAGATAAGGACTGTGAACTAGACTAGCTATTCTCAACATATGGTCCTCTGACCAACTTCACAGAAACAAAAAATTACAGGGCCACCTAGACCTACTGAGTCACATACCCTGGGGATGGAGCCTGGCAAGCTGAGCATCAACAAACCTGCCTGGTTATTCTGATGCACAATGAAGTTTGAGAACCAGTGAAGGAAACATGAGATTTTAGGCAAGATTTTATGGGACTTGAATGCCTGGGAGAAATTATTTGTCTGCATACTATCTGTCCTTTCAAAAAGTGGTCCTATCTTAAACTCCCATCTTGAACTTCAGCAATCTTACTGAGCAGGGCTAAGATGGCCAGTTTCTCTTCATTTCCTAGAAGATAGAATCAAACTCATGCATCAAGTCCTAGGTGTGGTCTTCTGATTCAGAGCCCTCCCTGGTCTTTATGGAGATATCATACCAGGACAGCATGATATATTATCCTAGATTTAGTCTGTCTACTGCAATTAATGATTGTAGAACAAATACCTGAAAGAAACTACAAAAGTATAAGGAAACCTAGTTTTGAGAAATTAACTTACTTCATTAAAATTTATTGACACGCCAAAGTAAAACATGAAAGAAATGATTCTAAAATACCAACTGTATAAAATAATTAAACGTACTGTGACAGTTTCAAGTCTCTGTTTCACTATCTGCATCTTTGGGGAAGAATTTTCAGTGTGTACAAATTCACCAATCTGAAAAGAGCCTTGCTGAGGTAATTTAGGACAGGTACACAGAGCATCTTGACTTTGGTGTTTTCCAGGTAATGGCAATGTTGCACTGTAGCATCTGAACATTTTAGCCTCCTGCTGGGCTACTGAAATAATAAATCCAAAATTAGTTCAAATTATCATAGCAAAAGCACAATAATTAAGGCATGAAATTGCAGCATTCAACAAATGATCAGACTTTGCATAGTATATTTTATTTATTTATTGTACCGGGATTGAATAATATATTTTAAATAGTGGGTTAGAAGAAGACAACATGACTGGCAAAATGTAAAATTATTATTTACTATAAAACCAAAAGGAAAGAAATATAATAATATTACAATTTCGTGCCAGGCAGTACTATACTTTAGCCTTGAAAGTTACACAGATTTAAATGGGAGCCTACATTTACATATCTGCATAGAGAAAACATAATAAAAAAATTCAAGGCCTAAGAGAAATGATAAAATATTAAAAATAATTATTCACAAACCATCTCCCTAAAACTGTTTTTACATTTCTGTATCTCTTCTAATCTTTGTACATACATTTTAGATTAAATATCATAATGTAAGTATAATTCAACATTTTCAATTTTACTATATTTATCATATTTCTACAATGATATAATTATCATTCTAAAGTGCTTTACATTATTTCATCTAATGAAGTAGAATAACTTAAAATGAATTTTTCTATTAGTAGTTAGCAAGATCATGTCTTAAAAAAAATGCTGGGGATGTAGCTCAGTGCAAAGGTCCTGGGTGCAATCCCTGATACTGTGAAAAGAAGAAAGGAAGGGAGGGAAGAAGAATGAAGGGAGGAAGGGAGGGAGGGAAGGAAGAAAGCAAAGAAGCAGGGAAGGAAGTCCTTAACTGCATAATCTCAAAATAGAGGGCCTTTCTAAACACGACCTGAAAGGAAGAAATCTCAAAATACGGAATCAAAGCATGGAATCAGTGATGAGCCTTCAGAGATTCTGTACAAGTTACACACAGAAATGTGTGGAGAAATGTTTTGAAAAGGAGATTAATTACTTTGATCAGATTATCCATCAAAGAGTTACATGAGTCAGAAAAGATTAAGAATTGTCAACATTTTTTGGACAAATAGGACAGATTTTGCTACAAGAACATTAAAGAATCTTCATTAAAATAAACACTACCACAATAAAAATAAAAAGTAAATGACAGGTAATAGAATTATTCTATTTCTGGCAAAAATGAAGTAAAAGGAACTAGATTTTTCTCTTCTGCTTGCAATTATCAAAAAAATGCACAAAATGTACAAAAGAGAAAAAAAAAAACCTTTGCAAGAAATACTAGTGTCCACGTAATACTAAGACTGGGTTGAGAAAAGGGAGCCATGTAAGAGATACAATCTAAAAGATGACTCACTCTTGGATCCTGGGCCTACATCTGGGTAAAAACTCTGAATGGAATTTAAAATACAAGCCACTAGAATTAAACATTGACTTTAGCTGAATTGTAGGATATGAGATCAATACACAAAAATTAAGTAATGCTATTAGTATGAAGATAAAGAGATCTATGTAACAGAATAGAGAACACAGCATGTATAGACAAAGTGTGAAGGCAATTCAGTGAAGAAAGGTCAGTCTTTTCAATAAATGGTAGGGGAAGAGCTGGATTTTCATGTGTAAAAAAATGAACCCATCCAACTGTATACCATGCACAAAAAATAACTCAAAATGAAGCACAGATCTAAATGTAAAACCTAAAACTATAAAACATCTAGAACTAAATGAAGAAAAATACTTTTATGAGCCTGGATTAAGCAAAGATTTCTTATGTTCAATAATAAAATCCATAAAAGAACATATTGGTAATATGAACTTCAAAATTCCAAACGTTTGTTCTTTGAACTGTTAAAACAATTAAAAGACAACCCAAAGACTGGAGGAAAATATCTAACAAATAATACATCAGATATAAAACTTGTATACAGAACTCTCAGATTAATAAGTAAAAAATCAGAAAAACAAATAAGATAACTTAAAAACTGGGCAAAAGATCTGGACCGTCACTAAACTAAATATGGTATCAGGATGATAAGCATGCAAAAGAAGGTAGACTCAACCTCATTAGTCACTAAGAACAAGTAAGTTAAAACCTCATTGAAACAGTACTGCACATCTATCAGAATGGCTACAATTAAAAAGATTGATCATTTCAAATTTGGCAAAGACCTGGAGATACAGGCACATCTCTACATTACTGGTGGGAATGTAATAGCATGACTACTTTAGAGAACAGATTTGCAGCTTAAGAAGTTATACATCTGCAATACGATATTGTCCTTGTAATCTTAGGAATTTAAAGGAAATGAAAGCTTATGTCTAAATAAAGACTTGACCATGAATTCTTAGAGCGGCTTTATTTGCAATAACTAAAAACTGGATACAAGCTAAATGTCTATCAACAGAAGAAATAATCAACAAACTGGTATATCCACACACTGAAACAACAGTCAGCAATAAACACTATAACTACTGATAAACACTACAATAAAGATTAATCTCAAAGTAATTATGAATGAAAAAAACCAGAGCAAAAGAATACATGGCATACACTGCTTTGTTTATGCACAATTCTGGGATATACAAAATAATTCATAGCAGTTGCTGAGAGCAAGAGGGAACTAGGGTATGATTTAAAGGTACACAAACTAACTTTTGAGGACGATGGATATGTTCATTATCTTAACTGATATGATGATCTCACAAGTGTATAAATGTTCCCACTTATGAGAGCATAAAATTTAAAAATATGAAGTTTATTGTATGTTAATTATATGGCAATAGAGCTGTTTTCACATAAAGCAAATGAAAAATGGTGATAAAAGGGTAATTATTCCTAATATGCAGAGTACTTATAAAATCCATTTAAAATTAGTAATACAATACAAAAATAGGCAAAGAATCATTACAGAAAATTCACAAGAACCATGTGGGAAATAAAAAATATTCAACAATGAAAAAATAAAAATGAGAAAGTGATTTTTTTGGCCTGTTACACCGACCCATTGTACCTTACCAAACTTAGTTTCATCAACCATGAGTCTAAAGTAAATATAAAAAATTTTAAGGCTTTGGTCTTTATGTTCACACACTACCTCATTTGGGCCCTCTGAAGGAAGAGTAGCCCACTAATAACTAGTGTTTTCTCCCTGCACGTGGATAACGATCAGTACCAGAGGTCATACAGAGAGAGCAACTGCTGACTAGCCTGTCTCAGTGATGCACTCTCTGCAGTACCAGCTACTGTTCTTAAATGCAAGCATAGCCATTCCTTTGTAGATTTTCATGGATCTATTATCTTTTTAGTGTATACTTTGGACTGTTCCTGGAACATTCAGATCATCTATTTTATCCTAAAATACTCAAAGACTACCTAAAGAACAAGAGAAACTTTAAAGCTATAAAAAGTGAATAAAGTGCTCTCTGGGTTGGAATTTGGAAGGTTTACCCCTAGAGTAGATGGCTTCAGGGTTAAGTCAACAAGTACATACTGTGTTTCATCTTTGCTTTTTAAAATTGTTCTTTCAACATTTAACAGGTTTTTTTTCCTGCTAAGAAGGGAAAGTAAAGCTAAATATAATTATTTAATGGCATGTGTGACTTCCTATGTTCTCTAAGATTTTGAACTTGTCAACCATGATTTCACTTTAACCCATAAGCTAGTGAGCATGGAGAAAAATGAGCTAAAAGCATACATACAGCTACAAGTAAAAGGTTTGTGGAATTCTGATATTTTTCAGCTTTTTTTGTCAAACTGTATTTCCTGAATATTATATAATATTCTAAACTTGTATTTTTTTTCTAAAAAAGTTTTTTAAATTGGTAAAACATAAGAAAAGCCACTGCCTAAATATTGTTTTTATGTTTGTTCCAGGGTTAATATAGTTTAAATGTATGCAGATAACAAAAATTAAACGCAAACAATCATAAGTGCTTATTTCTCTTGTGTGAAGGGAATTTTTGATACAAAATCCATCTGACTCTATTTCAAGGACTCAAATAAGCACCCTACTGTACGTTTAGCACCTTTAGTTCATGCAGACAGCCATAAAAAATTCTGCAGTAAAGTTCACAAAAACCTAGTTTCAAAACAGAAGCTCTTATAATTCATGGGCTCTTCCTCCTTTACCCTCCACAAATGTATACATCAATCTATCTGTACAAGACACACATTTTCCCACTGTAAAAGGTTTTAATAGATGAGTTCTGATATTCCTTCAGCCTCTATGCTTTTAACAATTCAAATATTTCTAAAATACTTTTATGCCATGGTTTATCATTTTTTCTTCTCTGTGCCAATTAGTATCTTTAAAACTTAGCTCTGACCTAACCTGGTATGTTTAAAAGTCACATTTTCAACAGTCTCATTCTCATCTTTTCATCATTTTTTGAAGGGTCACTGCTAGGTTCATGCACCAGAGTAGGCTCTGGGAATACAAAGACACCGACTCCTCTTGGGGTTTCAACATTTTGGGGGTGAACAAATTCCTGCAACGTGTAAAGTGGGACAGCAGAGGAAAGGACAAGGTGGGGAGTGTACATGGGTGGCAACTACATTTGGTCTGAAGAATGCTATATCTGCCAAAATGCTTATACACTTACCTCCAATAGGCTATTGTTTGGAAATCTAAATTTTACACAATTAAAAATATTCCTAATATGTTTGCATAACTCATCCTCTGATTTTATATAATGGACTCAGTGCTTTTGTGAATTTCATGGCCTTAGGCAATTGCAAAAAATAATACCATTTTCTCATGAGATTTTTATCTTTTGAGGAGGAAGACTGGAAAAAATATGATATATTAATCCCATGCCCTTTGCATCTGAAGCAAACACAAGGGCACTGAAATTTATGTGTACTTATGTTACTGATATTTTAATACAGTGCCAACTAAAATCAGAACATATTCTTTCTCTTACACAATATTGAGAGTAAGATTTCCCTTTAGTTCAACATTTAATTCCTTTGTTCCAGATCCATAACTACATATTGCTCTATTACCGTATAGTCACTTTACTGGACTAATTCTTTCACTCATAAATTACTACATTTCAAATTAA